ACAAAACATAAATACATAAACAAACAATATGTCAAAACAAAAAAAAATTCTTATATACTATTAAATTTATCATACACAAACTAGGCTATACGTAGGCATACTCCTAATTAATATATAAATTTTACAAAAATAAATACTCTTATTTTAGTATTATAAACTCATAGAATCATTGACTATGCGAATCCATTTCGAATTATTTTCACAAAAAAGGAATCCTCAATTACGAAATTATGGAATTTTCGACTTACAATAATTATGAAATTAAAGTTTCGAGTCCGTAATACGAACGTATTTTTATTACAAAAGACGAAGGAAGTCAAAAATAACCTTTGACTTCCTTCATCTTGTGTAATATTAAAACAGTGCCGAAATATGTTGCGTACGAAGAAGAGAATATCGTATCCTATTTTTTTTTTTTTTAAATCTATAATACAATATTCACAGTTTATGAATAGTTTGCCATAAAGTACGAATAAATAAAAACAAATTAACCATTTCATAATTATTAGAACGGAACTTTTACATTTATTTGATCTTTAGAAGTGTATATATTTATTAATAAATCGAGTTCACAGTACTAAATAATTAATGACTCTTACAAAATTATAATAAACAAAAGTAAAATACATTTAACCTGTGTTACGTAATTAAACGAAAGTGAAATTAAAGCCAATCTAAATTATCTTTCAATGATTAAAAAAAAATGGAAGGAATTTGACTTTACTTTTTTTTTAAATCTTGCAATATCTTAATAGAAATCCTACAATATTTTTCTTTTAATTTAAACTATAAAAGTTCATTGGCTTAAAAGACAGATATTGATTTTTTTTATTTATTATTACTGTATTTCAAGGCTTTATTACATTATTTTTCTAGAATTGCGTGTAAACAACAAGTAATTTACAGTTTATATGTGTAACAGTGTAAGCATTCAACTTACCTAGAAAGGTTAAAGTATTTTTAAGTTGTAAAGTAGATTTTTTTTTTAAATTAAAACTAATAAACTAATAAAGTATTATTATTTCCAATAAGAAAAATGTATTTCTCACTACCCCCTACCTTGTTACATTGAAATATAAATTAAACACATAGAATATATACATGTCATTAGAGGCATATTACAAACATATATATATAATTAATGTCTTTATAATCCTAATATATGTATATATATCCTTAGAAGTATGTCTATAAATTGTCTATATGTATAACATACTTCTAATTATTAATTTATAGACATTTAAAAAACGATTGAACGAAACTATGAAGTAAAAAAAAAAGTATCGTTAGTTAAGCAATTAGTAAATTTCCACTTATTAAACAGGAAAATGTTTGCACTTATTTGTGAAATTGTATAGCCTACTGTATACAGTATACAAGACCGGTTCTTTCGACATTTCTTCTTTCCCCTTTACTGGCCATCGTACAACATTACGATATATCATTACCGTTTTCTGGTGACCTCGTATAGAAAATCGAAGGTTAAAAAATCCGTTTCTCGAAACAATAATCAACATTATTCTAATATTAGCACTGTTAATTGTTAAAGCTATATATGGGGATAGAAAATTCTTCTATAATCGTTAATTAAGTAATAGATATTTATTGATATTTTTAAAAATTTATTAGGTATTTCTTTATCAATTTTGTAAATTTTTCTATACATTTACAATTTAAATTTATTAGTAGATTTAAAGATAAATGTCACAATTTTTTAAATGTATAAGTATTTATAAGTATATGCTTTACAAAATGTAAACATTTACGTATATTTAATACATGTAAAAATGTTTTCAGATCCGTATGCAGGATTTTTAAAAGAATGGGATTTAAAATCATATTATTTTTTCATAATTTAATTATTTTTTTACGGTATAATTATATAAACTGAATGGCTACATAATAAATAAATAAATATATATAGGCCTATATTTTAATTTAGTGTTTTAGTATTTCCCAAATGGGGGTTAAATCATTGAACCCACCTTATGTGCACGGTCTTGAATGTATTCAGGTTTTATATTTAATTCTATATGTTGTTCCTAAAATTGTCAA